CAGCAGGGTGGGCAGGGGCAGGGCCAGCAGGGGCAGGGGCAGCAGGGACAGCAGCAGAGGCAGGGGCAGGGGCAGGGGGAATTGGCTTATTTCCCGAAACCTGTAGAGGCAGCAGAACCAGCAAGTGCAGCAACAAGCGAGGCGGGAGCGGCAGGTGATGGAGCAGCAGCAGCAAGAGAATCAGCAGAAGAGGCAGTAGGAAGCCCTGGGTTGGCAGGTATGCAGGCTCTGGCAACCCTAGCTGCTCTACAGCAGCAGCAACAGCAGCACCAGCATCAGCACCAGTCAGCTTCTTCTGCTGGAGCTGCTGCTGCTTTTTCGCTAGTAGATCCTGTTTCTGCTAGTCGTGCAAAGGCTGCTGATGCTGCCGCTCATGCTGCTGCTGATGCTGCCGCTCATGCTGCTGCTGCTGCTGATGCTGCCACTCGTGCTGCTGACGGTGGTGCCACTGTTGCTGTTACTGCTGCCTGCACCTCAGCCGAACGGCTATGCAGGAACAGAATGACATCGGATCGCTCTGGGAGCGGGAAGAGGAACAAGCGGCGCTCTTCCCACTCAAACACCAACACCACTGGCACTGCCACCACTGCCACCACCACTACCACTGCCACCACTTCTGCCAGCACAGATAATTCCTCTGCTTGCAGCCCTCCTGGTGCCATGCCAGGTGTTACGCCAGGTGTTTTTTCAGGTGTTTTTCTGCCTGCTGTCACATCGGGTGCGATGCCAGGTGCAGGCACGGGCACAGCAGCAGCAGGCACGGCCACAGCTACATCAGCTGCTGCAAATCATTCGACTAGTGGCTGTGTGCAAGCAGAACAGCTACACGAACAAACGGCATGCTCGGCACACCAGCATGGGGCGAGCGGCGGTGCGTTGGCGAGCTTTGAAGCATCTCAAAACGCGCATCAAAGGGGAAACGTGCATCAAAGAGGGGGAGCTGGCAGTGTGGTGGGGGCACACCAGCAGGCTGCTAATGGCAGTGCGATCCCAGCCCAGTCACATGGGTTGGCACAGCAGCAAACGACAAGTACGGCGGGTGCAGCACCAGCACTGCCACCAGATGGCTGTGAGATGTCAGCGCAACAGCATGCAGCGGCGGTGTGGCAAGCGAGCATGGGGAAGAGCAGGGAGGAGGCGGAGGCGCTCTGTGAGCAGGCTGTGCGGGCCGGCACTCTCACTCACGACCAGGCGGCTGAGTTCTGTGGACTGCTGTCCAAGGAGAGCCTGCGGAGCTTGCGAGAGGTGAGCACAGAAGGGTGGGATGTTTTAGGGGTGCTTCATACAGGACTAGGAAGACAGCCATCACACGCACTCTTATCCCCCCCCTCCCCCCCCCCCCCCCCTTCCCTCCTCCCCCCTCTTTCCTTGCTTCCCTCCCTTCCCAACAGTCTCTCTTAGCGATGAGGATACGTTTCGGGGCTGCTCAATAGAGGACCTGGAGGAGAGTCGCAGGCCGGCGTGGCGGGAATTCTGGGAGAAGCTAGAGGCGGACAAGAGGAGAGGGAGGGCAGCTGCTGCTCTCAACTCACAGGTTCCACTCCTCCTAATCCACCCACTCTCTCCCGTTCCTCTCGCCCCAACCAACCCCCCACTTCTGTTCCGAGCAGTCTCTCTTGGCGATGGAGGACAAGTTTCGAGGGTGCTCGATAGAGGACTTGGAGGAGAGCCGCCGGCAGGCGTGGCGGGAGTTTTGGGAGAAGCTAGAGGCGGGCAGACGGCGAGGAGGGGCGGCAGCTGCTGCTGCGGGCGGGCCGAATGGGGCTGTGGGAGCTGGGGCTGGAAGCGGTGCCGGCAATGGCTCGTGCATATTTTACGGCAGCCGCGCGTTTTTCTGAGGCGGCGTGGCATGGTGTGCCAGCAGTGGGAGGAACCGGTTTTTGAAATTGGAGGGAACTGGTGAAGGAAATGGTGTTGCATGCATGATGCTCTTTGAGTTCTGGGAGAAGCACAGGGATGCGTATGGAGACGGGCAGGTGGAGAGGAGGAGAGGAGGAGGGGGGATGACTGCTGCCTGGGATGCACAGGGCGGGCCGAATGGGATGCACAGGGCGGGCCGAATGGGGCTGTGGGGGCTATGGCAATGGCTGCTTGTGCATATTCTACGGCTGCCGCACATTTTTCTGAGGTGCCATGGCATGTGAAGGAAGGAATCGGTTTGCTGGTGAAGGAATTGGAGTTGAAAACGCTCTTTGGGTTTCAGGAGAAACTGGAGGCGGACAGGAGAGGAGGGGCGGCTGCTGCTGCTCATGACGCACAGGGCAGGGCGAATCGGGCAGTGGGAACTGCGACTGGGAGTAGTCCCGGCAATGGCTCGGCGAGGAGGGTGGGGGTGCTGCTCGTGATGCACAGGTCGGGCCAAAAGGGGTTGTGGGAGCCAGGGGTGGAGGCGGTGCGGGCTTTGGCTTGTGCGTTTTTTTACGGCTGCCTCTCGTTTTTCTAAGCCGGCATCATGTCGCGTGCCATAATTGGAAGGAAAAAAGATCGGGTTGCTGAAGGGACTGGTTTCCTATACGTTCTTCAAGCCCCACAGGCTTTGTGGGTCTGAAATTTCTTAATTACATACCGGTATGAGATCGCGCCTAATTTAGTAGAGCTGGTTCAGATAGGGTGGTTGATTCCGAAGTATCTATTATAAATGGTGTTTATGCAAGATTTAGTGTAGCATCTTGACCAGTGGTAATTCCCATTAGCGAAGTCTGCGGTTTTAGACGTCCGGGGCGCGTTTCAACACAAGAGAAGCTCCTTTCTTGTGCAAATTTGGGTACGTGTCAGTTACAGGCTTGAGTTGCCCCAAAATGGAACGCGCGCGCGAGAGCTTCCACCTTCGCAAGGGCGGGTTACAGCCCGAAACGCGTTGCAGCACGATTCGAATCGCAAATAACCTTGAAAGGAAACGAGAAACACGCCTCACAAAACCTGGAGTTCTGCCTTTCGTGCGGTATTCTAGAACCACCGCGTTTGAACTCTTGAATATTCTCGCAAGAATTCCGTTGGAGGTGTCGTCGATTAGGGCTTGTTCCGACATCGCTTCGGCATACGTGCTTTGGCGTTTTCACAGTTCCGTTGCTTCTGCGTCCCTTTGCCTTCACGATAGAATCTTCCCTTTCCATTAAACAAAACCGAGATAACAACAAGAGCCAATCAGCAAACCAGTCAGCGTGAGAGGAGAATCAACCAATTGTGTGGAGGCACTTTTGAGAATTCTCAAGATTGACGCCGATCGCGCGGAGGCATGTATGCGGATCGCCTAGAGGAGGAGCGGGAGACCGTGAGAACCCGCCTCTCGGGGGGCCAAGGCGGCGTGCGCACAGGCGCCGCGAGCACCGGACCAATCAGGAACCGCGTGTCGTTCAAGAAGGGCGGCTCGGCCACCACATTCAGGTGCGCCGCGTCTGCCTGCGGCCCGGGATGCGTCGCATTCTGCCTGTGCTTCGGGTTACGCCGCGTATGGTAACGCCTTTGGGTGACCATTAAGTTGACTGAATAGTCATATTCGGGTACAATGACTCAGATAGAAGCTCGGTTGCGCCGCGTATGATAACGCCTTCGAATGACTATTGAGTCGCTGATTGAAGCTAAGGTTGGACTCGGCTAGCTGGGCGTGGTAGCAGCTGCTTTAGCCGGTCCCTGCGAGTGTGGTAGCTCCTGATTTAGGCAAACCCTTTATTTTCTGTGGTGCAAGTCGGGTTAGGGTCGGTTCAGTAGTGTGGGAAGGAGTATTTGCTTACATGACTTCCTTTGTATGCCGATTGGTGTCACCTCGGTGCCTCAAGGGAGGTTCAGTGGAACGGAGAGGGAAGGAGAGGGAGGAAGGGGAAGGTGGCCAAAAAAGAAAAGGATGGGGATGCGGAAGGAGAAGGTTGGGAGGGAAAGGACGGGGGGGAAGGAACAGGACTTTGAAGGAGGGATAAGGCATTAATTAGTTAAGCCTGAAGGACTATGTATTTACGAAGGGCGGAGTATATTTTAATATTGTTTGGCCAGAGCGGCGCCCATGATGAGTCGGTTTTTGAGTCGACTAAAAAACCGACTCATCTTTTGAACTTGTTTGACCAGAGCGGCGCCCATGAGCGGCGCCCATGATGACCCTGCTTGGTACGGTGCGACTTTCATCCAATCCCTTGCTCCCCACCTTTCTCACCACCACCATTCAGGCGACACTCTACTGGCGGCAGCGGTGACGAGGACAGATGGCATCACGACCTGTTTGACCAGAGCGGCAAAAATGACGACCCTATTGGTGACGGTGCGCCCTTTCTCCATACCACTCCACTCCCCTCCAACCCCTCTCACTCCCCTCCACTCCCCTCCAACCCCTCTCACTCCCCTCCACTCCCCTCCAATCCCCTCCACTCCCATCCACTCCCATCCACTCCCCTCCACTCCCCTCCACTCCCCTCCACTCCCTTCCTTTCCATGCCTATCGCTTCGCCCTGAATCCTTTTGAGAATTCCTCAAACTGACTTCCCTCCTTCGTTTCTTCACATGCGTTTGAGAGGTTGCTTAGAGATTTTTGAAGAAGCGATATAATCAAGCATGCATGCCTTTCTTTCTCTTCATGCTGCCCTGTGATTGAAGAAGGGTTTTGAGACGTCTCAAAACCCTTCTTCAATCAGAAGCGATATAATCAAGCACGCATGCCTTTCTCTCTCTTCATGCCGCCCTGGGCGTTTCTACCGCCCTCTTCTGTTCCTCTTCTCTCCTCTCAGCACCTCAGTCGCACTCAGCTTATTGTCTCCCATATTTAAGTATTACCACCCCCCCCCTTTTAATCAAAATTTGCAACAATGTCCTTCCCCTCCCCCTCTTTTGAGTCGACTCAAAAGTCAACTCCTTCCCCTCCCCCTCTTTTGAGTCGACTCAAAAGTCAACTCCTTCCCCTCCCCCTCTTTTGAGTCGACTCAAAAGTCAACTCCTTCCCCTCCCCCTCTTTTGAGTCGACTCAAAAGTCAACTCCTTCCCCTCCCCCTCTTTTGAGTCGACTCAAAAGTCAACTCCTTCCCCTCCCCCTCTTTTGAGTCGACTCAAAAGTCAACTCCTTCCCCTCCCCCTCTTTTGAGTCGACTCAAAAGTCAACTCCTTCCCCTCCCCCTCTTTTGAGTCGACTCAAAAGTCAACTCCTTCCCCTCCCCCTCTTTTGAGTCGACTCAAAAGTCAACTCCTTCCCCTCCCCCTCTTTTGAGTCGACTCAAAAGTCAACTCCTTCCCCTCCCCCTCTTTTGAGTCGACTCAAAAGTCAACTCCTTCCCCTCCCCCTCTTTTGAGTCGACTCAAAAGTCAACTCCTTCCCCTCCCCCTCTTTTGAGTCGACTCAAAAGTCAACTCCTTCCCCTCCCCCTCTTTTGAGTCGACTCAAAAGTCAACTCCTTCCCCTCCCCCTCTTTTGAGTCGACTCAAAAGTCAACTCCTTCCCCTCCCCCTCTTTTGAGTCGACTCAAAAGTCAACTCCTTCCCCTCCCCCTCTTTTGAGTCGACTCAAAAGTCAACTCCTTCCCCTCCCCCTCTTTTGAGTCGACTCAAAAGTCAACTCCTTCCCCTCCCCCTCTTTTGAGTCGACTCAAAAGTCAACTCCTTCCCCTCCCCCTCTGCACTTTAACGACGCCGCACTCCTGCCCCTCCTTCCGCCTCTCTCTCCCCCACGTCCCCTTCCCCAAACTCCCCCAGGAGTTCCCGCAGCCAATGACCTCCGCGCCCTGCTCAGGGCCAAGGGGGGGAGCCAGCGGGGGGGAGGGGGGAAGCTGGGGGGAAGACTGGGCGGAAAAGTGCAGGTGGCGGACCTGCGCCACAAGCTGTCTGGGGGGAGCGGGGGAAGTGGGGGGAAGATTAACAGGGGGAGACTAGGCACTGCTGTGGTAAGCAGTGCGGGGATTTTAGCAGCTGAAAGGGGAGCAGGCGGGGGAGGGGGGAAAGGAGGAAGCAGAGGAGCAGCAGCAGGAGGAGGAGTAGGGGGGGTGGTGGTGAGGGGTAGAGGCGCGGTTACAGACCTATCCTCTCTATCCTCTGTATCCTTTAGGAGTGATGAGCGGTCGGTGGTTGGTGGGGACGTGGGCGGGGTAGTGAGGGTGGCAGCAGCTGCTGCTGCTGCTGCTGCAGCAGGAGGAAGGGGAGGGGGGGAACGCCTAGTGAAGCAGCAGCAGCCGCGGCAGCAGCACTATCAGCAGCAGGAGCAGAGGAGGCTGACCGTGGTGGTGGCAAACGATGGGGTTGGGGGAGCAGGGAGCGTCAGGAGGAGAAGCACGGTGGTGGGGGCGGTGGGGGTGGGGGAGGAGAGGGGGGTGGCAGCTATAGATGCTGACGTGGCTATGGATGGGGAAGATGAGCAGCAGGTGAGAGGCGGCTGGGGAGAAGGTGGGGGAGAAGGTGGGGGAGAAGGTGGGGGGGAAGGTGGGGGGGAACGTGGGGGTTGGGTGGTGGGGGAGGAGAGGAGGGTGACCAGGAGCAGGTGAGAAGTGGCTGGGGAGAAGTCTGGCTGGATTGTGAGTGATGCATGCGCATCCCATGGCGTGACTTGAGTCGTTTTGAGACGTAAACATCACTTTTATCACGTGATGCATGCGCATCCTATGGCGTGACTTGAGTTGACTCGACGAGGTTGTTTTTTAGTCAACTCAAAAGGAGCGGGCTGAAGTTTGAGCAATGCATGCGCATCCCTTGGTTTGTGTCTTTAGTCCTTAGGGAGATTGTAATGTGGGATGTGATGTGATGATGCTGTGCGAAGGTGGGATGCTACTACGTGCATTTCCGTTTATATCATTTGTGTTTCTGTAGTTGTTGTCATTGCTGTTCATGGGGCATTCTCACGGATTCTGTCGAATGTGCATTGGTAAATCTGGAATAATTGATGTCGTGTTATATGTGGGTTGCTCTGCATTGCATTTTAGTTTTATTTTTTAATTTCTACACCTCACTTCAACGTTCCGGCAACCCTCTGCCCATCCGCCCTTTTGCCCCTCTGCTCACCCTTTCAGACAGTGTCATCCTTCCTTGCGGGCCTGGGACTGAGCAAGTATACAGACCTGTTCGCGACCGAAGAGGTGATGTTTCTCCCCTCTCCTCGGCCCATACATGCATCCCGCTCTTGCACATACATTCAACCCCCGCCTTTCCCCCTTTCCTCTTCTTCCCCTCCCCTTCCCTTTTTCCCCCTTCAAAATTGCCAGAAACTAGGCCAGAAATCCAGTAGAAAAAAATATTGAAATTCAAACTGAGTTCAAGCAAGGTATCTAAGCCAAAACCTAAGCCAACATCTAGGCCATAGTTTAGGCCAGAATTCAGGCCAGAATAGAAGCGATAATGTGAAGTAATATCTAAGCCACCACAATATCCGTCACATTTAAAGCTATAACTTGCGCCTGCTTCTCTATGGCCTCATTTTACGTATGCCAGCCATGCCCTCATAACTTCATGCACACATGCTGACATGCTCACATGCCCACATGCTCGCATACTCACATGCCCACGTGCCCACTTGCTGACGTGCTCACTGCATGCCCACATGCCTACATGCTCGCATGCTCAAATGCTCACATTCCCACATGCTCACTTGCCCACTTCACCATCTGTTTTGCCTCTTGTTATTTCTATCTGCAGATTTTTTCTTCTTGTTACCTTCTTTTTCCCTCCCCGCTCCATCAGATTGACTTGCAGACTCTTCATCGCATGTCGGAAAATGACTTGAAGGAAATCGGCATCCCTATGGTAAGAATATCGCACTCACATGCATGCCCATGGTTGACTTTTGAGTTGACTCAAAGGTCAACTCCCTTCAGGTTGACTTGCAGACTCTTCGTTGCATGTCGGAAAATGACTTGAAGGAGATCGGCATCCCCAGGGTGAGAGCAGAGCATAGACACTCACATCACATGGATGCCCATGGTCAAAGCATGGTAGACATGCATTCCGATGTTGCATTTAAGGGCCCGTGTTGCTTGAATGTTGACGAGCTTTTCCACAAGGCACATTGTCCCCCAGAATTGAACGATTCCTTTTGTGCGCTTATATCATGTTTGTGCCCTCATATTGTTTAGTTGGTGCACCCCCTTGAGTGCTTCCAAGTCCCTTCGGAGAAGCATCCTTTAATACCCTGATTTCAAAAGCATGTGTAATCAAGCTTTTCCCCATGCCAACTTGTATGTTTGCAGGGCCCTCGTAAGAAGATTGTTCAAGCAAATGCGGCTGCTTAGGAAGGAAATTGAAGAAATGAGCTAAATCAATATGCAAAATCCTCATGAGGATGCTATTTTGTAAGTTAGGGGCATCTAATGAGATTCCTTACACCAGTATTTCAACGTTTTGCACTGGTTTGCGTTAGTTTATGACGAGCCGGAACCTCTCCCACGTGGGAAGCTTTGGCCACTTGTTCTTTGGTGTGATCTGCCCGCGATATCTAAATTTCAACTGACGGATCTGGAGGGCTGCTTCTTGCCACACGCGGCTTGACGGAGCAGAAACAGAATTTGGTGGACCACAAGGCAGAGCTAAGCGAAGCAGATTACACACGAGCGAAGCAGATTACGGGTAGTACACACAAGGAAACTCCACAGTTGGAAGAAAATGTTTCGGAAGTTGGGGGACCGTTTTTCACAACTCGGGCAGCTTTCTTTGCCGAATTAGGCTGTTACTGTACTGTAAAAGATCGAGGAGGTCGAGGTCCCACACCTCTCGACCACTTTCACCTCTACCCTCATTTAGCAGGTGACCCGGGATTAAAACCTAAATATTTAATACATATCCTAAGAAATGTACATGAGACGCGGCCTTACACTTCAATCACATCACACCACTGCTCGTGGCAGAACTGCCCATCGCAGGTGCTGCCCGCATTAAATTAGGACCAACGAACCACACAATGATGCTTGAAACCTCAACCTCAGTCCCGACTCCCGTGTGGGCCTTGGTGTCTTGACGCCTGCATCCCAAAACTCTTAGGGCATCCAAAAAAAACTTCAACTCTTATGGAGCCTGGATGCATTTTCGGGATGGATCAACCCTAAAACGGATAACTTCCTGGTATTTAGGGTTCATGCCTCCCGAGTCGCATCTGTTTCCGAATGGGTAATATATTTTTTTCCAGTGCGTCTACGATCGGGTAGGTGATATTTATCACCCAGAATATAATATGTTATACGTACTCACGATTTGATCCGCCGAGATTTACTTCCAAAATAACGCAACGAGCGCGCTGTAGTAGAGGGAGGTCAAAATCCTTAATAGAAAACATGAATACACAATTTGGTTCTTCTAGCAAAAGGTTTTTTTTTTTTTTTTTTCCGGCTCGGCTTGTTCGCCAAGTCGGTTGGGCAGCTCTGGGCTGAGATCCTACGGTCGAGATTTACAGGTCCTACTTCGAACACTCCTCTGGCAATGTTCGGCCCCTGGTTGATCTTTTCCCCTCTAGGTTCCCGCTTTCCTTCTGGTCCCTACATTTGCCCACTGTCGGAAGAACACGCCAGCGCGTCCCGTCAACAATCTGAAACATTTTGCGCGCCAACTTCTGCTTCATATGGCTATTTAATTCTGTAAAGTAGAATCTGAACACACCCGGTGTGCCAACAGTTAGCTCAATAAAGAGTGTTGCACGCGAAGTTACCCTTCCCGTGCCACCTGGCGTTACCTTTGTTCGTCCCAAAAAACTCTGTCTCACTTGTGTTGGGAGGAAGTTTGGAGCGCCGCCGAGTCTAGAGTCTGGGGTTACAGTAGTCAGGGGACTGAAACGGCCACCAGCCATTTTTTCAATGTCTCGGAACAGAATTGCTCTGATAGCTGCCTCGCTGGCAATAACTCATGATGATTGCGCGAGGGGCATTAATGGTGGCCTCTAAGAACATCGCACCGCGCGATAGGACGCGTATTTTTCGCAGCCAGCCTGGCTGAAGGACATTGGTCCGTCCTTGCTGCCTCCTATTCGCCGTCCAATCTCCGTAGCCATGGCCAGTGGTCGTATCTCATAAATCTCGGCCGCGCGAGTCGCGATAGGATGGCTGGACGGTTCTCAGAGTCGACTCAGAGTTGACGACGCCCGACGGACGCCCGACGGACGCCTGACGACGCCCGACGCGCTCTCCCGAGTCTCGACTCGTATCACATGATTGCCTGATTGACTCTCACTCACCTCACCTCAGCTCAGCTCGCCTCAACGGATGGCCACTCGTGACAGCAGTACTTGAGGAACGAGGGATGGTGGCTGGCTGGGAGAGAGAAGAAAATGTGAGAAATCTGCTATTAGTGCATACAAGCTTCCTTTGTGTCCTCTTGGGAGCCAAAGCGTCTGAGTGGTGATACCGATTTTGCCCGCGTGTGACCCGCCCTCGCAGCGCACATAGCCTCTTGATTTTGCCCCCTCGTCGTCTCGAATGTGGCCCTGGTTCCAGCAATACAGTAATATTTTCAGAAATATTTGGGTCCCTGATAGTAGTAGTGATTCCTCCGTAAATGAGCATCATTCGTCATGTGTCAGCACTCCGCTCTCCGAAATCTCGCCACGTCGCAGCCTTTCGCGCTGACGTGGATGACACCGCCGCCTGTGGCGGCGACGGCGGCGATCGACGGGGTCGCGCCTGCACCGCTTGATAATCGAGAGGGGTCTAGAGATTTCGCGTCAACGGACCGCTGCTTCTCCGCGCCTTTCTGGTCGTCGCCGCAAGAGTGCGTAACTGCTACAACTGGCTGTTGCCGCAATTCGAATCCGGCGCAGCCGCATCGCGTAGTACTACCGTCGCCGTCGTTAGCCGGCGTCGCCGTGGCCCCGCGGACGCCGCTTTCCCCAGCGCCACCGCCGTCGCCGTATCCTTACGGCGCCGCCGCCGCCGCCGCCGCTGCGGCGGCCTCCGCGACTGCTGAAATGTCGAACGACGTCCCATCACGAAACCCTAACGTCTTTATTCCATCCACAGGCTGCATGATTACTACGGCGGCTGATAGTACTGCTAAGGCCGCCGGCGGGAACGGTCGCGTGGCTGCTCTCAGCCGGCAGAATCTGAGAAATTCAGGCGACCGTTTCATTCTTGGTAAACGCCACGGTGGACCGGAAATTGCTCGCTTCTCGGACCGCGTACCGCCGTTTTTTGCGGGCATTTCCGAGCTGCACGCGCGACAGGAGGGAACATCATTAGACCCGAAACAGACGATCCCTTTTGCACGCCGTCGTCTACCTAAAGCCGCCGCCGCTGTCGCTGTTGATGCCGCTGCTGCGAAATCACCGTCTCTCGCCGCCCACGGTGGCGGCTTTGCTACATCCACGTCAGCGGAAAATGCTCTCCAACCAAGCGGCGCCGGGGCTGTCATTCCCCTAGGAACTACTACTAGTACCACTATTACTACTACTACTGAGGAGCAAAGCACCTGGCGCGGCCCGGTCCTGGAGGCGCGGTACCGACAACGCACGATGGAGGTTGCTAGGGAGACCGATCTGGAACCTCCGGCTATCACGGCGATGCATTGTGCTGCGGCGTCAGATTTCGTGGCGCAGCGATTCTCGCAGCATTTCGCACAGCATTTCGCGGAGCAATTTGCGCAGCAGCAATTCGCGCGGCATTTCGCGGAGCAGCAGTCGGCGAGGGATGAGGAGAACCGGCTCCTCCGCTCCTGCGGTGACGATAGCAGGCTGGCTGATGAGCGGCGGCAAGAGCAGCAGCAGCGGCAGCAGCAGCAACAACATCAGCAACAGCTGCTGCTACTGCTGCAGACCCAGCACAGACAGCAGGCCTTAGTGGCGAGTCAATGCGAAGGGCCTTGGAGGGTAAACGGCTTGGGCGGTGCGAGTTGGCCGGAGGCTGGTGCGCGGCAGAACACAATTGGGGGTGTGCGACAGGAAGAGCACGGCAGAGAGAAGCAGACGTCATTGGAGAAGGTGATTCTGCACTCTGTGCCGTGGTTCCAGGCGGAGCAGCAATGGGAGGCGGAGCATCATGCAGTTGACATGAATGGTACAAGTAGGAAGAGGCTGTGCAGAGAGGAGGAGAAGCTGTCGGCGCTGCTGCTGGCGTCCCACCAGGCCGTGATGCAGCAGCAGAGAGAGCAACTCGAGCTGCAGCAGAGGCAGAAGCTGGTGCTGGATCAAAGCCGAGAGCTGGCATGCTCGCTCGCCTCTCAACCAGAGCCGTGCACTGTTGCAGATCAGTATGTAGCTGCGAGTTTTACTTGTTCAGCAGGAGATGATCCTGCTTTTTTTGGTCCAGGGAAGGCCCCTGGAGCTTATGTAAACGCCGCTTCCTGTAGCGGCATGACCACGACCAGTTTTGGGGGGATGAGCCCTCCTTCCCGTCCGCTATTGGATCTTAACCTTAGCCTTTCGCTGTCGTCCCTGAGCAGTGAAGAGATGCCGGAATCAACTGCTTGTTGACGATGCTTTATACATGGAAATAGTGTTTTGGTAGTACTCGAGTCTGTAGTCAGATAATAATCTAGGGATTTTACTATATTAATTATAAAGCTGGAAGGGGGTATTGGTCATGTAAGCTCAGACCTATAATGCTTGCAGGTACTGGTATGAATGCTCTGAAGCACAGACCTAAAGCACTACAGCATACATCTTGTGGTGGAGCGCATGTGCTAATGGTTCCCAAATTTGGCCGACGCGCGCGAAGTCCCCACGCGGTAATCGACAGTGGCAGACTCCCGAATGCATCAATCCGAATCTGTCTTCATTTGTCGTTGAAAAGTGACGGCCAGCAGTGCCTCCATCGGCAGAAATTCATCGTCCAGCCAATTGAATTGCACCCGATTCTTGTGGCACGACACTGACAGCAGCGCGAACCAAGGCTGACAGAAGGAACCTGCCCACAACCTTAAAACTGTCGTGCACCAATCGGCGCAGTCATACCACCATCCCCCTCCCCTCGCCTTGGTTACCGCCTCCTCCATATGCAAGCTGTGCGACCCGTCGCATCCCTACCTCACGTGCATTTCTCCCACCGAATATTGCTGCCACTCTCTCTTGCGACAGACAGCCCAACCTTCATGTGTCGCATATCCATCCCCAAGCTATGTTTTGCCTGTCGCAAGCAGCACAAATGTGTGGAGGAATATTCTAGCTTTCGCCTGAGCTTCGCTTCGTCATCAGTCTCAGCTCCAAAAATATAGCCGTTGAACTCGGCACCAAAGATAATCTCGAGGACGTGTTTCCTGGAGAGCAGCCAGGGATCCTGCTGCCAGGATAGGAGCCTATTGTTTGTTCCAACTGATCAAGCAGATCTCCCCTCCTGCCCAGCATAGCGCGCGAACGAGGCCCAGCTTGGGTGCCGGCGAGCATACCAAGCGCTCTTCGTCGAGCCGCCGAGTTCCTGCCCAACCAGGAGTAAGTTAAAGCTGGTTATTTTTATCTATCTATTTATTTACTTCGCGTGCTTGATTCATCTTTTTTGTTATCCGTGGCCTAGTTGGAAATGAGTTAATATTTACCAATAGAATTTCTTTCTCGGAGGAAGTCCACCTCCAACATTCGCCCGCTCGCTGTACCCTTTTTTGCTTCTTATGTTGTATAAACGCACTTTATCAGCCTTCACTTTTTTCTCGTCGTCCCCTTTCCTCTGGTCCTCACCGTCCTCCGCTTCGCCTCCCCTCGCCTTCCACCGCTCCCTTCCTTTCTCCTCATTCTGCGCCGCTGAACCTCTTCCTACTGTCAGCTCAACCGCCGCAAACAAAATGTCGTCCGCTCCGCCTACCGGCGGCAGCGGCAGCGGCGGCGGCGGTGGCGGCGGCGATCGCGGTGTGCAGCCGATGAGCCTGAAGGAGGTTCAGGAGCGAATCGACCAGCTCTACGGTGACCGGAGCGCGAAGAACCTTCGCGAAGGCATCCGAAAAGGCTTTATTTCCGTCGGAAAGGGTGTCTTCGCCGGCGTCGGCGCGCTCGTCGCGGCGCCTATCGCGGGCGCTGCGCAGGAGGGCGGGATCGGGCTGGTTAAAGGGACCGTGGCGGGGGTGGCTAGTCTCGTCGTGTTGCCTACTATAGGAATAGTACAAGGCGCGCAGCAGTTAGGACAGGGGATTAAGAACATGCCGGACGCGGTTCGGGAGATGATGAAGAAGGATAAGTGCGAGGAGGAGGCGGAAAAAGGGGAGATTCTGGAAGATCCAGACGTGGATAAGCTTAACGAACAGACGTATTCGCACACGCGCGAAACTGTCGAGAAAATCGCGCTCGAAACGGAAACAGAGGAGGCGACCGCCACGTCAGCGGCGAAGGCTGCTGCCGACGAAGCAGCCGCCACGACAGCCGCGGAAGCGGCGGCCGCGGCGGAGAAGAAGGGGGAGAAGAGGGAGGTTAAGGACGAGGCGCTGTACCTGGTTCTGGAGGTCGCGACGGACGCGTCGTCCGTGGAGATTAAAAAGGCGTACTACAAGGTGCGTGTTGGGGGAGGGGGGAGGAAGGGGCGGTGAGGGGAGAGGGGAAGCGGGGGTGTGGGGGATTGGGGAGGGGAGGGGAGGAGGAGAGGAAGAGGGGGAAAGCGGAGGAGACGCTTAGTGGGGGTATTGTGGCGTGCATGGGTGGATGATATGGACGGTGCCAGGGTTGCTTTTGAGAATTCCCAAGAGTAACACACACCAATATATTGGTGACAGACTGGGTTGTTGATCTGGACGCCCCTGCGTGTGTGTGACATGTTCTTCAAAGCAGCACAAACCCTCCCACACTCCCTTCCCACCCAAACCCTCTCCTCAACCTCCTGCCTCCTCACTTATACCGTGTCTGCAGCTAGTGCGTGCATGCCATCCCTCCCTTAACCTCTCTTCCTTCCCCGCCTTTCCACGCACGGTTCCACCACTATCTCGTCCCCTTTTCCTCTATCCCCTCTCTGCAGCTAGCGCGCACGTGACATCCGGATAAAAACCCAGGCGCCGAGAGCGCCAAGGCCAAGTTCCAGGCGGTGGGCGAGGCCTATCAAGTCCTCATGGACCCCGCCAAGCGCGAGCAGTACGACCGCTAACCTAGTGCATACGTGCCATCCCTTCCTTGACCTCCTTTCCCTCTCCACCACTCCGCGCGTGCCACTACCCCTATCTCGTCCCCCTTTCCTCAATCCCCCCTCCGCAGCTAGCGCGCACGTGCCATCCCGACAAGAACCCGGGGGATGAAACCGCCAAGGCCAAGTTCCAAGCTGTCGGTGAAGCCTACCAAGTCCTCATGGACCCCGCCAAGCGCGAGCAGTACGACCGCTTCGGCCGCGCCGCGCTCGAAGACACCTTCATGGACCCCGGGTCCTTCTTCACCATGGCCTTCGGTGCAGAGCGGTTCAAACCGCTTGTAGGGGAGTTGACTGTGGCGTACACAGCGGCGGGGAATCTGACGGTGGAGGAGGTGAAGCGGTGGCAGGCGCGGCGTGAGAGGGAGCTCGCGGACGGGCTGCTGAAGCGGCTGGGGCTGTGGTTGAAGGGGGATGAAGAGGGGTTTGTAAGGGAGGCTGTAAAGCAGGTGGATGAGCTCAAAGGGGAGGCGTTTGGTGTAGCGTTCCTGCACTGTATCGGGTAAGTGGTTTTTTAGTGTCTGGTGTGCACTACTCGCGGGCGCTGGCGCTTCTAGGGCTCACAGATATGCTCACCCTAATCATATTATCTCGTTCCCCTTCTCTCTACTCCACCCCTCCCCCATCAGCTACACGTACCACTCGCACGCGCTGGCGCTTCTAGGGCTCACAGATATGCTCGGCATCCTTGGCTTCGTGAACACACCCTATGTTCTCCTTCCTGCCGTGCTGCACCTCCCCTTGCTCTCGTTCCCCACCCGCCCCCCTGTTCCACCCCCTCCCCCCATCAGCTACACGTACTACTCACGAGCGCAGGTGCTGCTAGGGCTTACAGAGTTGCTGGGCATTCCCGGCTTTGTGAACGCAGTGAAGGAGTCGGGGCACACCATGAAGACCCGGTACAATGCAGTTGATGCGGCACTTAAGTAAGTGAATCCGTTACTGAGTCTCTTACAGGGATTCAGAGCATTAAAGTAGGAGTCGGGGTACACCATGAAGACATGATACAACAACGCCCGACGCAGCTCTAAGTGCCTCAGGGAGGCTATAGGCTCATCAATCAGTTGTCGGGAACTCACCATCAAGACTCAGTACAACGCTGTGGATGCGGCACTTAAGTAAGTACTGAGAGCTTGGGAATCGGGTATTCTGAAATAGGAGTTCGGGCACACCTTAGAGACTTCCAACGCTGTCGACGCGACACTGTGAGTCTTGGAGTCAGAAATTTACTGTAGAAATCAAACTAAAAAAAATGAAGTCAAAGTGCACTGTGCTTAACTGAATGTCCAGAAATCTGCTCGTTGATCTCTTTTTGAGTCTGGACACGCTATGGGAAAGGCAATTTTTTATGCTGAACCCGCTTGTATAATGAACACGCAAGTCTGGGCATACAATAAGCTGCAGCTGGCATATATAACCCAGTCACAACCAGCTGGTGTTTTTGAGAATTCCCCAAAACACCTGGCACAAGTCCAATTGTTCCCCTGAGGATCATTTGCAGCACTTAAGAGCGGGTGCTGCTCTTCTCTGCAACCCAGTCAGTGCGGAGCCTTTTGAGTCGACTCAAATGTCACGGCCTCTCTATCCCTCTTCACCACCATTGATTGTTCCGGGTGTTTGCTCTTCCTCCAGTTTTCCTCCCTTGTTTTCCCAGTTTCTCCTGCCCCTCTCGCTCACCCCACCCACCCTCTCGCTCAACCAACAGGCTGCCAGAAATGAAGGTCAACAGGGACCCTCCAACCCGCCTAACTCTCTCTCTTCCTCCTCCTCCTACTCACCCCTCAGGCTATCAGAGATGAAGGTCAACAGGGACCCTCAGAAGCCAACCAGCGAACACCAGTTTTGAGGCGCCTCAAAACCAGCCAGCGAGCACCAGTAACAACAGTTCCTGGTTCTTGCTCTTCCTCTAATCCCACTCCTCTCGCCTCTCTACTATTTCTCCTGCCCATACGCAAACCACCCCTCAGGCTATCAGAGATGAAGGTCAACATGGACCCTCAGAAGCCTGCTAGCGAGCAAGCAGCACCATTCATGGTTCTTCCCCGTCTGCTCTTCTTCCCCCAATCCTCCTGCCTGCCCCCTTCCCCTCCCGCTCACCCCTCAGGCTATCAGAGATGAAGGTCAACATGGACCCTCAGAAGCCTGCTAGCGAGCAGCCCAACATGCCCGAGTTCCTCAACTCCGTCTGGATGGTCAGTGCATGCACCCCCTTCTGTCTGGATGGTCAGTGCATGCACCCCCTTCTGTCTGGATGGTCAGTGCATGCACCCCGTTCTGTCTGGATGGTCAGTGCATGCACCCCCTTCTGTCTGGATGGTCAGTGCATGCACCATCTTCTGTTTGGATGGTCAGTGCATGCACCCCCTTCTGTCTGGATGGTCAGTGCATGCACCCCCTTCTGTCTGGATGGTCAGTGCATGCACCCCCTTCTGTCTGGATGGTCAGTGCATGCACCCCCTTCTGTCTGGATGGTCAGTGCATGCACCCCTTTTGGTCTTGCTGACTTATGAGTCGATTCAAAAGTCTCTTCCCAGTGAGCAGCCCAACATGCCAGAGTTCCTCAACTCCGTCTGGATGGTCAGTGATTTTCTCTTGTTGTGTGTAAGATGTCAAATTACGCGGGTTTTTTTTTCCCTACTTTTCTTCTGCCAAAAAAAAAAAAAAAACAATAACAAAAAAAAGTAAAACCAAATCAGCACTCTTCGGTGTGTGCATTTCAGCATCCCATTTTTGAGATGTGTACCTTGGAAAGAAACAAAGTGGTTTTCAAATGCTTCCAACACTTTTTTTTATGGATATTAAAAAGACGATGCATTTCAAATTAATATTGAGAAAACGTCTCATCACTAAGCGCAATCCTCTCCTTTCCCCCACTCCATCCCTCTTCATATTTTTTTTTCAGATAAGCGTGCTGGACATAGAGAGTACACTGCGGCACGTGGTGGAGCTTGTAGTGAAAGACAAGACAGCTTCTAAGGAGGAAAGAAAGAAAAGGGCCAGCGGCATCATGCGACTGGGGAAGATTTTCCAAGGGGTGTGAGAGAAAAGGGTTGTTAGTGAAGATTTTTCAGAGGGATTCATTCACGGTGGTACACCACCAATCCACCGGATCAATAAGTGGCCTCAGCCAACATGGATAGGCAGGCCGCAGCAGATGCTTTCTAGATAGGTTCCTTCCAGGAACCATCCTACGAGTATCAAGGGCACCAGCGAAGCAGCACGAGGGTGCCTGATTGCCCAAGAAGCAGAGACGGGCATGTGGGGCTGGGACCTGGGAGCTTGCAGAGCATTGCTGAGATCATTGTTGAGGGCGCCTTAGAAGGGAACAGCAGCGCCTTGAATAATGCCCTGACCAACTGCAGCGATGGTTTAGTACCATATCCATATCGCCTGGACACATGCAGAGCAGTGCTGGGATAATTGTTGGGGCACCACTTAAAAATGCCTGACTATGGTCACTTGGCAGCAGTGGTTTAGTATTTGGATTGGAGCAGGCCAGTTGGCAATGGCATGCCTCCATTATGTCTTTGCTTAGGTGTGTCTAGGAAGGGTGAGGGTGAGGGTACATAGCTTGAGCTTGTAATATAGATTGCAGCTACATTCATATCGGTACATTCCTATTGAAAAAGCTTTGTCTAACCCACACAACACCAGTACCGAGTATGACCTAGTGTGACCATAAAACCACCTCAAAACTGTATTCTTGGCCATTGTTGACCACTCATGACCGCTCTTAGGTACTCTTTGATCACTACTGATAACTCTTGACGACGGAAGCGGAGGTGTACCCATTGAGTGTTCCGTCAGTGTGCCTCCTCTTCTTCCCCTGGGCACATGCTTGCAAGGGCCTCCTCACTCTCGTACTGCTCACACAGCGGAGAGGGGGTGGCGGGGAAGAGAGGGGCTGAAGAGTTCTTTAAGAGGTCTCAAAACTTCCCACCAGGCACATGCTTGCAAGGTCCTCCTCACTCTCATACTGCACGCAGCAGCAGAGGGGTGGGGGGAAGGAGGGTGGAACGGGGATGGGGAGCGGAAGGGAGATGGTGCGTCCCTGTTGTGCAAGTCAGTACAGACGCTGCTGCTGTTGGTTGACTGCTTCAGGATGTGAATTGGCACAAATTGCGTCAGCACAATAACGTGTCAGCACAATAACGTGTCGGCACAATAACGTGTCAGCACAATAACGTGTCTGCACAACAACGTGTCGGCACAATAACATGTCGGCACAATAACGTGTCAGCACAATAACGTGTCAGCACAATAACGTGTCAGCACAATAACGTGTCAGCACAATTGCGTCAGCACAATAGCGTGTCAGCAAGAGCTTCCATTGACTCACACGGAAACAACACGATGCAGGCCAAGGAACGAGCATTTCTGGCTGCAGGTTAAGACCTTACCGACTCAATGCACCTGGCAGCAACAGAGCACCCCCTGGCAGCAACAGAGCACCCCCTGGCAGCAACAGAGCACCCTCCTGGCAGCAACAGAGCACCCTCCTGGCAGCAACAGAGCACCCTCCTGGCAGCAACAGAGCACCCTCCTGGCAGCAACAGAGCACCCTCCTGGCAGCAACAGAGCACCCTCCTGGCAGCAACAGAGCACCCTCCTGGCAGCAACAGAGCACCCTCCTGGCAGCAACAGAGCACCCTCCTGGCAGCAACAGAGCACCCTCCTGGCAGCAACAGAGCACCCTCCTGGCAGCAACAGAGCAACCTCCTGGCAGCAACAGAGCACCCTCCTGGCAGCAACAGAGCACCCCCTGGCAGCAACAGAGCACCCACCTGACAGCCATAGTGTATGCAGTAGAAATGCTTCTGTCGCAGGCAATGCGGTGACTTTTGAGTCGACTCAAAGGCCATCTCTCAACAGAGCACCCACCTGACAGCCACAGTGAATGCAGTACAAGTGCTTCTGTCGCAGGCGATGCAGTGCGAGCAGCAGAAGCTGCGGGGGACGGCAGGGAGGGAGGGGAGCAGGAGATGGCAGGGCGGAGGGCGAAAGAAGGTAAGGATGAGGGTAAAGTCACATCACAGTGTGCGCAGTAGAAATGCTTGTGCCGCAGCTGATGCAGTGCGAGCAGGAGAAGCTGTGAGGGACGGCAGGGAGGATGGAGGACAATACACAGCTGAACTGTTAAATTGCAAGCGCAGCTGCAAGATCAAAATCACAGTGCATCACAATGCTTTAGAAGTGCTTCTGTCGCAGCCGATGCACTGTGAGAAGGAGAAGCTGCGAGCGACGGCAGGGAGGGAGGGGAGAAGGATATTGGGGGGAGGGAAGGTAGCAGGAGATGGCAGGGAGGAAGGAGAGAGGAAGGAAGTATGAGGGTAAAGTCACATCAGAGTGTACGCAGTAGAAATGCTTCTGCTGCGGCCGATGCAATGCGTGCAGGAGAAGCTGCGAGGGATGGCAGGGAGGAGGAGGGCGACGTGACACACAGATGGACCCCTAAATTACATGTGAGGCACTTTTGAAGGTTGCACGTGCATAATCAACTCTGAGAGTTCTTAAGAAACAACTGATTGCACGTGCAGAGCCACTCTTGAGATCGCTCGCTACTGTGACACAATGATGACCCACCTCTTCAGAAACAATGTCTTCTAGAGGAACCTCCTCCGTCTCCCCTCCCTCTCCCCCCTCCCCATCCTCCTCCCCCCCTCCTCTTCTTCCTTCTACCTCCGTTGCATCTCCCCTCCTCTCTTCCACCTCCTCCCACTCCTCATCACTCACACCATCAGCATCACACTCTGTGACTATTCGTTTCTTTCTCACTCTCCTCCTCCTGCCCCATCCCCTCTCCGCACCAACCCCTCTCTCCATAGCACCAGCACCACGACTCAAAGCAGCAGCAGCAGCACCACCACCACGACCACCAAAACCAGCCCCATCCAACTGAGCACCACCAGAAGCAGCAGCAACAGCAGGAGAAGCACCAGAGGAGGAGGAAGCAGCGCCAGTCCGCAAGGCCTGGCTCCTAAGCCACTCCTCCCCGCCTTCCAGATGCACCAGAGCCGTTCTCGCCTTCCTCAACCCGCTTCCTCCTCCTCCATGACTATCCGTGGAGGAAGGAGCAGCGCCAATCCGCACAGCCTGGCTTCGAAGCCACTCCTCTCCCCCTTCCAGGTGCACCAGGGCCGTCCTCGCCTTCCTCAACGCCCCCCGCACCTTCCACTCGCTCCACCTGCCCTTCCTCCTCTCCTCAAAATCCCCTCGCAGCGCCTCCTCGCCTCTCCGCCTCACCCGCGCTGCTGCCTCTGCTCTCAACAGCTTCTGCCTCTCCGCTTCTTCCTCCTCCTCCTCCTTCCCCAGCCCTTTCCTGTCCCGTTTTAAGCTCAACGCAACAGGTTCCACCCACACGAGAGGTTTTCGGTTGGGCGCGGTTGCAGGTACTCCTGACTCCCCTAGGTTGTCCTCGATACTAGCTTCCCCTGTACTCTCTGCAGGTCGCTGGTCACTGCAGTATTCCCCAACGCGGGTTGTAAGTGACCGGCTGCTGCCAGCCTCAGTGACTAACGTTTTCTCTCTTTCCCCCGTCACGTCTCCCCCCGTGCACTCTGCTTTCCCCCTCTCCCTGCTTGTCTCTCTCCCCGCCGTCACCCCACTCTCCTCCCCCACTCTCGCCCCGTCCCCTCTATGTCGCTCCCCCCTGATTTCCGCCACCCCCATCTTCCCCGCGGACGAAAACCCCGCCATTCCGCCCGTCCGTTCCGCCTCAGGAGGCCCCTTAAAGCCCATCTTCTGCAGCAGTTTGAAGCCGATGTTCGAAGGCGGTATGGGCGCCGCGAGGCCTTCCGCGAGTACCGCCGCCTCCGCCTTGTCCTTCTCCTCGCGTACCTGCTGCCGCCGCTCCTGCCACGTCAGCCTTTTCCAATCGTCTGGCCGCTGACGTGGTGCAGGCTTGGGCAGCTTTTTTTGCCGCTCCTGCTGCTGATCGCGTAGCTTCGACGCATCTTCCGGCGGCAAGAAGGCCGAGAGATCGCCCATGTAATCTTCCACGTCAGCATCGCCGCTGGGCGCTGCTGCCGCCATTGATCTACGTACGCGATGTAAAGCGAATCTTGCCAACAGTAAAATTCGTATACCACTTTTAAATCGAGTCGAAAGTCGCCCAGTTGCGCCGTCGTCGATCACAACGCACGCAATTCTGATTTGGATACTTTAATGGCCTCGCTTCTAAACGAGCATACAGTAGCCGAGCCAATAGCCTGTTCTTGTCGTTTCGCAATTCACGAAATATGAGTCGAAAAACTGGGACTGGTGAGAAGAAGCGAATGAATCCAGTACACTGAAACCAAGTGCATGTGATGCCAGTGGCTCAACCATGTGGTTTCAAATTTCGCATATCCCACAAAACATTTTTATGCAAAATCTAACTTTGTTTAAATTTTGCTGTCGACAAAGAAATTGACCTTCGGGACATCCGTTAAAATTGGAACGATACAGAGAAGATTAGCATGGCCCCTGCGCAAGGATGACACGCACAAATCGAGAAATGGTCCAAATTTTTTTTGGCGACCTGATGGAGTACGTCGACCAATCACAGCACACCTTCCTCCCCACAACATTCCCACGCTGCATGCCGTGTGAATTCCGAGCGGGAATTCAGCCCACCATTTTCCATGCGTGCCATTTCTCAAAATTCCATGCGTCCCATTTTTCTCTAGAAACGCACTTCCGCAAGCGCAACAGTCCTCCCACCTATTTCCCAGGCTTCAGCCACATTCGCACGCGACTTCTCTATGTCCGCTGCGGTACTTCCCAGTTCTTTCTTCAGCCGCTCTGCCATTTTCTTCTCAAGGAGCAGTAGGCTGGTTGGCTGTATCGTCCGCTCATCCCCCTCCTCCCTCACATCTTCCATCAAACGTTCATCTATTCCATTCCCTGGTCGACGCGGCTCGAAACCTCCCCTTCGCCCTGCTCGCCGGCCATTTTCAAATCCCACCACCGTCGCCATGTATCAGAATCCGAGTCAATCCGCGAGTCCGAATTCCCCCAACTCGTTGCGACAAAACCAAGATCTTCCAGAGTTTCCCAACCCGTTCGACAATGCCGGAGATTTCGAGCTTGGCTTTCCCGTGCGGAGCCTTAAGGAGCTGCTGCTGTGTCGCGTCATGGGTCAGATTCGGGAGAAGCCGGTTTGGATCCGAAAGGTGACGGACGACAAAATTGTCAAGAAATGGAAGGCGGAGTTGACGGAGCCGGCAGCGGACGTCCATCCTGACGGTTTCATCGACGCCAGCAAGGAGTACTGGACTGCGGAGGAAGCTTCCGCCGTGCTTTCGTTCCTGAGAGAGACTACAACGCGGCCTGTCAAGGTGATCCGCGCCCGATGTGAGTGAATCCTCCGTCTTCCTTAAGAACCGTTTATAAACTATTATTATTATTTTCAGCCTTCGTTTTCTCCTTCTCGTGTAATAGCAGCAGTTGCCAGCCTAGAATTTCGCTCTCTGACCACAGCCTCCAAGCCTTTTCACTCTCCGTTTCCGCCTCTCTGTCTCTTCACTCGTGAATTTCTGCATTGACCTTCTCTCCATCCCGCACTATCCCTCACCTCTCTCCCTATCTCTCTCCCTCTCTTTGTCTCTCCCCTCCCTCTCCCAGATCGACCCTGCTCTCTTCACCTACGCAATCTCTGAGCTACGCTGGCTCGCCTCCTCCCTCTCCTCCTCCTCCTCCTCCTCCTCCTCCTCCTCCTCCTCCTCCTCCTCCTCCTCCTCCTCGTCCTCCCCTCCCTCTTCTCCACTCTCCTCTCTCTCCCTCCACGGCAATCCCAAGGTGCTCCCATCCGCAGCAGACGGCGTGTTCATCTCCCCAGACCCCCCACTCGACCCCTCACTCAAGCAACTCTTTCTAGACGGAATCACCTCTCTAGAATCAGTTACTGAGGATCAAATCGACTACCACCCGGGATCAAATCACCAAGTGATCGATCTCATTCACCCCAGCCTGCATTGCCTGGTCGTTGGTCGCACTAGAGTTATCCAGGATCCGCCCAACGACCTTCAGATTCTTCCCTGGGATGAGCTGGTTAGCAGCTTGGGGGAAGTCGCTCGGCCTATGCCGCCCAGTCAGCCGACCCGGCAGGTGTATTACCCAACCGGGAATCATTCATACCTTTCAGAAAAGTTTCAGTGGCTACCCGCAGAGGTGGACGTTGCTGCGGACGGGCAGAGTGCGAAGTTTCGGTCGTATATTAATAATTTGCACCCGCATGAGTTTGCGGGGATGTACCGGGGTCTGGAGCATATTTTCGCCACAGCGTTTGTGCCGTTGTTTAACAAAGTGCTGACAGAAGCAGTTCAGCAGCGACGAGAGCGATTCGACTACGATATTTACGGGTAAGTTCATCAAGTTTGTGTGCCCCCCTTTCTTCATAGGGGGTTCAATGGTGGAACATGTAATGGTGTATTGTTTTTGGATCGATAAAATTGTTTGTTTTCCTATGTCGACATGTTTCTCTTCAATGCACTAATTTCACTTTACATCTACCCTCACCTTCTGCCGTGCCGCCCACCAGGTGGTACGACGGGTGGAAGGGCGAGAGGGAATACGACAAGGAGGACGATGATGACTACCACCAGTGGCTGGTGGACCGGCAGCCCTTGACCTGCTTCAAGTCCCCCTGTTCCCATCTTTCAGCTGTGCCTCTACCCACCCGCCAGTTGGTACGACGACGTCTGTTCCCATCTTTCAGCTGTGCCTCTACCCACCCGCCAGTTGGTACGACGAGTGGAAGGGCGAGAGGGAGTACGACAGGGAGGATGAAGACGACTAGCAGTGCAAGCCGTGCCCTCCAAGGCTTCCTGTTCCCACTGTGCCTCTGTCCATTACCGTCTGTTCCCACTGTGCCTCTGTCCATTACCGTCTGTTCCCACTGTGCCTCTGTCCATTACCGTCTGTTCCCACTGTGCCTCTGTCCATTACCGTCTGTTCCCACTGTGCCTCTGTCCATTACCGTCTGTTCCCACTGTGCCTCTGTCCATTACCGTCTGTTCCCACTGTGCCTCTGTCCATTACCGTCTGTTCCCACTGTGCCTCTGTCCATTACCGTCTGTTCCCACTGTGCCTCTGTCCATTACCGTCTGTTCCCACTGTGCCTCTGTCCATTACCGTCTGTTCCCACTGTGCCTCTGTCCATTACCGTCTGTTCCCACTGTGCCTCTGTCCATTACCGTCTGTTCCCACTGTGCCTCTGTCCATTACCGTCTGTTCCCACTGTGCCTCTGTCCATTACCGTCTGTTCCCACTGTGCCTCTGTCCATTACCGTCTGTTTCCCACTCCTGTACCAGGTGGTACGATGAGTGGAAGGGCGAGAGAGAATACGACAAGGACGACGACGACGACTACCACCAGTGGCTGGTGGACCGGCAGCCCAAGCAGCCAGACACCCCTGCAGAGTTCTCCCCCCCACAGCCTCCCTCCCCCGGGCACGTGGTGGACCTGAAAGGGCGGCGACTGCAGGTGGTGGTGAAGGTGGCAAGCATTCAGCTGACCCCTGACAGCCCGAAGTATCCTGGGGGTACTTGGCATGTGGAGGGCATGCGGAATGAGCATATTGTGGTGAGCTCTTGCGGTTGTGAGGGATGGGAAGGAGTGGGCGCAGGTGGTGGTGAAGGTGGCGAGCATGCAACTCACCCCTGAGAGCCCGCGATAACCTGGGGGTACTTGGCATGTGGAGGGCATGCGGAATGAGCATATTGTGGTGAGCTTTTGCGGTTGTGAGGGATGGGAAGGAGTGGGCGCAGGTGGTGGTGAAGGTGGCGAGCATTCAGCTGACCCCTGAGAGCCCGAGATAACCTGGGGGTACTTGGCATGTGGAGGGCATGAGGAATGAGCATACTGTGGTGAGTGAAGGGATAGAGGGTGTGAGGGATGGAAAGGAGTGAGCTGTGGTGGAGGTGAGGGAGCGACGAGTGCAGGTGGTGGTGAAGGTGGCGAGCATTCGACTTACCCCTGAAAGCCCGAGATAACCTGGGGGTACTTGGCATGTGGAGGGCATGAGGAATGAGCATATTGTGGTGAGTGGATACGAGGCGGTAAGTGAGGGGGAGGGGATTGGATGGGAGGAGAGGGGAGGGGAGGGAAGGGGAGGGTTGTGTATAGATGTACCGATAGGAATATATTGGACCGATTTCCACTGATATTGTTTTTCCCCCATATCCCTCTCTCAGATCACACCCTCCCTTCCCTCCCATTTTCCCATTCTCGTCCCCTTTTTCCCCTTCCGCGTCCGTTCCCCCACCCTATCCCGTTTTCCCTCCCCATTCCCCTTCCCCCAGGCCACGTGCATATACTACTTTGACTCTCACAACCTCACGGAGTCGCACTTTCAGTTCAGGATCACTTTTTCCGAACCAGACTATGATCAGAACGACACCAAAAGCATGCCATAACACCTCTATATCCTCCCCTCCACTCCCATTTTTCCCTTCCCCTTCTCCTTTCCCCCTTCCCCTCCCCATTTCCCCCCTCCCATCCCGTTTTCCCTCCTCGTTTCCCCCTCCCTATCCCGTTCTCCCTCCCGTTTTCCCGTCCCCCAGGCCACGGGAATCTATTACTTTAACTCTCACAACATCACCGAGCCGCGCCTTCAGTTTAGAATCACCGTTCCCGAACCAGACTACGATCAGAACGACAACAAAGCATGCGATAACACCTCTATATCATCCCCTCCACTCCCATTTTTCCCTTCCCCTTCCCTTCCCCATCTTTCCGTCCCCCAGGCCACAGGCATTTACTATTTCGACTCTCACAACATCACCGAGTCGCGCCTTCAATTCAGGATCACCGTTGCCGAACCAGACTACGACCAGAACGACAACAAAGGGGTGGCTCGGATATACGGCCTGGTGGACGACGGACCTCTCACGCAACCTCTAGGCTCGGTCCGGACTGACATCCCGAACCTCTGCCTCGCCTTCCCGAACCACTTCCACCACCGGGTTGCGCCGTTCGAGCTACAGGACGAAACCCGTGCCGGCCACCGGAAGATTCTTGTCTTTTTCCTGGTGGATCCGCGGGTGGCAATCGTATCCACTGCACGCGTGCCACCTCAGCAGCTGAGCTGGCAGAGGAGGGAGCTGGAGAGAAAAGGCCACCCGTGCTCGGTCCTGCCTGGGTTAGCTCTATATCTGATTGCAGAGGGAGTGAGTGGGGGAGAGCATGGGGAAGAGGGTAAGGGAGAAAGTAGTGGTGTGGAGCGAGGTGGGGAGGAGGGTAGGGTTGATGAGGGAGAGGATGGAGGCGAGGGGCAGGGTGTGGGGAGAGAGAGCAGGGATGGCAGGGGTGCAGCGATGACGATGGAAGAAGCAAAGAAGTACCGGGAGGCTCTGATGGAAGAGAGGAAGGCGCTGGTTCAGCTGGCCAATGAGGAGTTGTTTGAACGGCCCTTCTCGCTCTGCGAGCACTGATGGTGGAAAGTAAATATTATAAGACAGCTGTCGTATATGGTATAATGAATCAGCTGTTAGGAGGTTGCTGTTCAGCTGGGAATGATGAGCTCTTTGTGCAGCCTTTCTCCCTGTGTGAGCACTAATAGCAGGGATGTGCTCTGCCCACGTGTCCCCTTGCTTCTGATGTCTTACTTTCCTTCCCCTCTGTATGTGCCCTTTTGTCCCTCCTCGCATGCCCCCCCTGCCCCCCTGTCTAACACCAGCATCAGGGCTCTAGGAGAGAGTGATCTAGACCTTCAGCTACAGGGGGAGAAATTCTCATGATATCAGCAGCACACTACAGAATAGATATTTACGCTGCGCGTCTGTACAATACATCACATAGCACACACCCTTGTGTTCAAGAGCATTTCAACATAAACCTATATTTTCATGTATTTGCAGGTCTAACGTACTCCTACAATTTTATATCCTGTGAGAGGAATGAATGTGCTGTTAGATTTATTTATCTCTGTTACGTGTGCAATTGAGTGAAGGAACGAGAATTGCACTATCGAAGCAAAAGTACAATGAGCGAAGGCATGAGCGAAGGATTATATAGCGAAACAATAGTGGTAACGGTAATGGACTGTGGTTGTCGCGCGTCGAGCCTGGGACTGAGGTTGGGAAAGTGTCGAAGCGTAGGCCCGGAGCGCGGGTTACCAGCCGAGCCGTGAGGTCGGGATGCGATGTGCGAAAAAGGCGGGATGATGAATGATGCGATGGTCGCGAGTGGTAACGGTGCTGACTGAGGTGCTACAGTGACGTACGCGCTGGGCAGGGACGCGAAGTAAGGAAAAAGAGAATTTCCTTACACTACCCCCCTCCCCAAGGAGGCCCCTCTTACGAGAGCGCATGGACGTCGCGGAAATTTCGGCTTCGCAGATACTCGGTGAAGACAGGGTGGTTCTCAATTTTATCCAGGGGGACCCAGTTGTCTTCTGTTGGCGTTCGGTCCTTCCAGCGAATTAGGAACTCGATCCTTCGGGCTCCCCGAGGGTCGCGGACGCGGTGGCTGAGGATTTTTTCAGGGGTGATGAGTGGTTCGGTTGGGGGACGTGTCATGCTGGCTGGGCGATTTCGTGGCAGTTGGCTCGTGGATGGGATGTAAGGGCGAAGTAGGCTGACGTGGAATGACGGGCTGACGTACCAGTCAGCGGGGAGGAGGAGGTGGGCGGTGACGGGTGTGATCATGTGGCTGATGCGAAATGGCCCACAATATCGGGGGCGAAGTTTTGGAGTGATGGGCAGGCGAAGGTTCTGAGTGTCGAGTAAAACGAGGTCGTCGGGCTGATAAGTAACGGGTCTGCGATGTCGATCGGCGTTGCGTTTAGCGATGATGTTTGATTTTTTTATTGCTTCTGCTGCCCTGGTCCGTGCTGCCTGCAGAATCTCGGCGAACTGTTGTGCTCGTGGGACGGGGTTGTCGGGATTCGGTGTCATGGGTACTGTTGGGTCCTGTCCGTAATTTAGATAAAACGACGACTGTTGCGTCGTGGCTGATGGTGCGTTATTGTATGCGAACTCAATGAGTGGCAGTTGCTGTTCCCACGTATTCGGGTCGTCGCACGTGGCTCGAATCAGCTGCTCCATGGTCTGATTTGTCCGTTCCGTCTGTCCGTCGGTTTCGGGGTGATAGGATGAACTGAACTGTAAGCGCGTGCCGAACTGCTGCCATAGGTTCCGCCAGAAGTTGCTGGTGAATTTCGTGTCCCTGTCGCTGATGATCGACGCGGGTATCCCGTGCAGGCGTACGACGGTGGAGATGAATAGTCGGGCGGTTTCCTCGGCTGTGATGGATTTCCTGCATGCTGCGAAATGAGCCATTTTCGTTAGTCGATCGACGACGACCAGGATCGCGTCATTCCCACTCGCCCCAGCTGGTAACCCCGTGACGAAGTCCATCGTCACCTGCTGCCAAGCACGCTCTGGAGGCGGGATGGGTTGTAATTGCCCTGCTGGTCGCTTCCTGCTTGTCTTCATGAGCTGGCAAGTGGGACACGATGCCACGTGTCGTTGCACGTCAGTCAACATTTCTGGCCAGTAGTAGTACCGCTGCAGCTGCTGCCGTGTTTTTTCTACCCCGAAATGTCCCGAGGTAACTCCGTCGTGTGCTTCCTGTAACAGTAGTTCCCGAAGTAACGTGTATCCCGGTACCCAGATGCGGTCGGTTCCAGTTTTTACGTAATAGACTCCTTTTGCCGCTGCGAATTGCTGTGAGTTGCCTCCTGTAAAGAACGGGTCTGTTTGATATCCGTGGGTAAATAGGCCGGTAAGCAGTGGGCTGGTCTGGGCGAGTAGTATCGCGTGGATCTGGGCAGTGGGGCGGGTCAGTGCGTCGGCGATATTCGATGCTCCCTTTTTGTATGTGACCGTATAGTGAAAATTCGACTCGAGGAAATCGAGCCATCGAATCTGTCGTGGGTTGAGGTGGGGCTGTGCGCGGAGGTACTGTAGAGATCGGTGGTCTGTCCGTACTGTCACGTCTGCGCCAGTCAAGTAGCAGCGCCAAACTTTGAATGCATGCACGATCGCGAGCATTTCGCGGTCGTGTATCGGATAATTTCGCTCAGGCGGATGTAGTTTTCGTGATTCGTAGGCGATGGGTTGGAGGCCGTTGCCGAAGTCCTGTAACAGTACAGCTCCGATGGCGATGTCACTTGCGTCGGTAACCACTTCGAAAGGGCGGTGGGGATCAGCGATGCGTAGGACGGGTGGTGAGCAGAGAACGTTTTTTAGGGCAGAGAAGGCAGCATGCTCTTTCTCCCCCCACGTAAAAGCGACCCCCTTACGCAGTAAATCAGTTAGCGGGGCGGTTAAACGTGCCATGTCGGGCACGAACCGTCGAACGTAATTAACAAACCCTAAAAAACTCTGCAGTTCCGTGATGTTCGTCGGGGGGCGCCACGCTTTTACCGTGTCCAGCTTCTTTGGGTCAATCTCAACCCCAGCCTCTGAAATGACGTGACCTAAAAACTCTAGCCTATCCCTAAAAAACTCGCACTTGGAGCCCTTGGTGAGCAGCCGATGTTCCTCTAAAACCTTAAAAACTGCTTCAAGATCTGCTAAGTGTTGCTGCTTATCCCGACTGTAAACGAGGATATCGTCTAGGTAAACGATGACGCATTTATCTAAAAGTGGCCTAAATGCCTCGTTCATGGTCATCTGAAAAGTCGCAGGCGCGTTCGTCAACCCGAAGGGCATTACTGTATACTCGAATGACCCGTACCGAGTCCTAAATGTTGTTTTTGCGCAGTCCGATGGTTCGACGCGAATCTGATGGTAACCTCCTCGTAAATCTATTTTCGAAAAGACACGTGCTGTTCGCAGTTGGTCAATCAGTTCGTCGGCGCGGGGGATGGGGTATCGCGATTTGACCGTTACTCGGTTAAGCGCTCGGTAGTCGATGCACATGCGAAAACCTCCGTCTTTTTTCGGTGTGAACAGTATGGGTGCGGCGAACGGTGACGAGCTCGGTCGAATAAACTGCTTCTCTAACAGGTAATCTAACTGCTTCCTTAACTCGTCGAGCTCGGGCTGTGTCAGTCGAAATTGCCGCTGTACTGTTGGCTGTGCCCCCGGTTCTAGCTCGATCCTATGGTCGTGCGCTCGCTGAGGTGGCAGTCCCTGTGGTAAATCATCCGGAAATATCCCCGGGAACCGTTTCAGTAGTGCTTGTAATTCGGTCGGTACGGCTGCTAGCAGTTTCTGTAAATCGTTCTGCTGCTCGTCTTTTTCTACCACTGCGATATCCACTGCGTACACGTCAGCTCCAGCAGCGACAGCCCGTTTCATCGCGATGGCGTTGACCTGGACTGTCGAAGATTCGGGTGGCCGCCAGCGAGGTAGGACGACCCAGTTACCGCTACTTCGCACTGTGCAGCTCCCCGTCGTCCAGTCGATCCGTGGGTTGTACCGTCGCAGCCAATCACGTCCCAGTAAAATGTCGTGCCCATCCAGCGTCGTTGCGAGTATTTCCTGTGTAAACCCGAAGTTTCCCCCGCAGCGGACTTTTACTCGCTCCACTTTTTCTCGTATGGCCAAAGGCGTGCCGTCGACTAAGCGTGCATCTATCTCAGGTAAACATCGGTTAAGTGTTAACTGTAATTTCCGTGCGGTTGCAGTATTAACTAAGCTGTGACTTGCTCCTCCGTCAATGAAGATTTTCACTGGTGCTCCCTGTATTTTCCCGTAGATCAGTACCGGGCAATCCGTCGCTGTACCCTCCTTATTCATCCGAGCCCGATCGATGGCGTGAATCGGTACTGTGACTCGGTGAGGGTCGGTGTGGTTGGGCGAGCAGGCAGTCTCGTCAGTAGTTGGCCCAACTTCTACTGACTGCTGGCGTTTCCCTGCCTCCGAGACTCCTTCCCCTGCTCTGCTCCTCGACGCCTCAGCTCCTCTGGACATTCGCTCTTGCGATGGCCCGGCCGGTTGCAAGCAAAGCAGCGCCCTCTAAATGGCGTGGCAGCTGCATTCGTTGCGACGGCATGTACAGTGGCGTGCTCGATCGGTCCCCGAGGGCGATGTCCGAAATAGGACCCCGGTCTCGGTCGGCGTAGGATATCGATTTTCTCGGCGAGCGCGAGGATTTCGTTGAAATTCGATAGCCCGCGTAGCATTATCTCGTGCGATATGTCCGGCTTCAGCCCTCCGACGTAACGGTCCACCCGCTCCGCCTCGTGCATGTAGCCGACCTGTTCGCAAAGTGCGAGAAAACCGCTGGTGTAGTCTTGAACCGACCCGAGCTGGCGCCAAGTGCGCAGTTTCTGACGCGCCGAAATCGAAGCCGCGATCGGCTCAAAACGCGCCCGAAGCCCTGCGCACCACGCATCCCACGTGCTGTATTGGGCTGTTTCGCAGAACGAACTCCAGGTGACAGCTGGACCCGAGGGCCCTTCCTCGTGCGACGGTGGCTCGTAGGCGCGTGGCGACGTCACGATGACTCGCCACCAGTCCATGGCGGGGCCCCTGAGTAG